ATATGGGACCCAAGCGTGCCAAAGAGACCTTTTTCTGGGATTGTATAGTTGCTTGGAGAAGAAAGCTCTTTTTCCTTTGGGGTTATTAGCTAGGATAAAAGCCCATTGCTATTTAAGGCCATGTTGCTCCCAACCTCCCTACCATGACCTCCACTCACATTAAAGAAGCCAGTTAGCAGTTGGAGGGATCGAACCACACTAAAATTCTTTATCCCTGAGTCCAGCTCCTCTGCGTATTTCCTAGCTCCGTTGGCCCCCAATTTTTTCTCTGCTTAAGTTATTTGAGGTATCATTATTATTATTATTATTATTATTATTGTTATTATTATTATTATTATTTTAGTTGCTTACTTTAGCTAGAATACTGATTAAATAGTACTCTAAAATATCCCCTGAGTCACCAAATAAGCTTTCATGTATGTGGCCACATGCTCTCTGGGACAGGATCTTGGGGCACCTGGAAGGATGATAAACAGAGGCAAACTCTTCAACAAGGCCAGGGGGCACCCTAGACAGTTCTTCTTGGGGAACCAGCCCTTGACCTCCATGATGTCCCCTCCTTGCAATACATCAAAGACCCTGGTCTAGGTGGAGTCCCACGCAGCGCCTTGCATTTCCCTTCACCACGGCCACCAGAATGGAATTCCTGTGTTATTCCCATGTTCTCTATTGTAAACTCCCTGGGGGTAGGGACCACGACTGCTTAGCTCATTGACCACTCCTCTGATGCCTGGCAGGGCTCCTGGAGTTTAGTGGGTGTTTAACAAATATGTGTGGAACTATACTGCAATGTTTTATTTTGAAATGAATGATAAAAAGATATATCCACTGCTTCCCATATTCCATTGACATCCAATTTACAACCCATGGGTGAGCAGCTTCTGCCTACCCTGGGGATTTGTTAGAAATGCAAGTTTCCAGGCCCTAGCCCAGACCTGAAACTCAGAATCTATGTTTTAACAAGATCTCTGAAATCAAATCATATGTCTATACTATATATTTGCATTTGGAAGTTTCCTTTTAAATAATAATAAACAAATAATAACGGACAATATAGGTAATGAGTGCTTACCATGCGCCAGGCAGTGTACTAAGAACTTTATCTAGAATATATGTTTTAATTGTTGCAACAGCCCTTTGGCGGAAGAACCATTATTTTGGTGTAACAAATTCTGAGTGCTCAGCCTGGTCCTGAGGTAGTGTTTTCTTGGAGCTGAATATATAGTATTCTACTATGTGGAAGCTGGACATCACAGCTTTCGTATTGGAAACTCAGGTCAGTTAACCGACTATGGGTGGGGCCATTATCCCTTGGCTGAGAGGTAAGGCAGCCTGGTGGGGTGAAGGCACCTGAATTGTGTGTAGGACCTCAGACTAGGATCCCCAACTGACCATCTTATTTAAAAACTGGCTGCTTTTTTCTATCCTGGTTGTCCTATCTGTCAAATGAATGTTTGGGATTGGATTATTGAGAAGCCCTTTTGGTCTTATAATTTTTACCCTCCTCACTTGTTTATAAAGTATAGATGAGGTACTAGTCTACAAAATAACTTGGGCTTGGAAATCCTGATTTATGCTTCACTGAAAGAAGAAGGATGAAAAGAGAAACATTCAGTCCCTGTGTAAGACATGAAGCATGAGGGGCAGCCGGTTAGCTCAGGTGGTTAGAGTGCAGGCTCATAACACCAAGCTTGCTGGTTCAGTCCCCACATGGGCCACTGAGCTGCGCCCTCCACAACTAGATTGAAATAACCACTTGACTTGGAGCTGATGGGTCCTGGAAAAACACACTGCTCCCCAATTAAAAAAAAAAAAAGACAATGAAGCATGAGATGGTCCTCATTTCAGAAGGGCCTGGGTGGGAACTGCCCTCACTGGTCCCTTGGGTGGGTGGCTCTACACTACACGTTCCAGTTTTACAAGCTTAGTTGTCTCTTCTGCTCCTTCAACTGGCCTCAGACCTGTAGGAAGTTTGACTGGAAATAGGGAAAGATATAGAACCCCAACCCTACAAAATCTGCTTGGAAAGCCTTTCGATGAATTTGACCTGCTTTAGATGGTTTCTGTCAATTTTAGACAGTTTTTGTGAATTATAGGGGAAAAAGTCCTCAGTTCTTTGGCAATCTCAAGGAATCTCAACTGCCCTCAGGGAGATTTCACAATGGAAAGTTTTGGGCAATAATTCTGGTCCCAGAAAGGACTGTTCTGGTTTTTGGTGTCTGACTGGTCTTACTGGATTAAAAGTTGCAGATACTTTTGAACTTATTCATTGAATAAATGGATATTGTCCAAGAGGTCACCACCTGGAAAGGCTGCATGGTGGGAAGAGAACAAAAAGCATGCTCTTTGAACTCTGAAAGGTCTGGGTTCAAATCCTGCTGCAGACATTCACTTATCTTCTCCAAATCTTAGCTCCCTCATCTGTAAAAGGGGCAATAATAAGGCTTCCTCTATGAAACTAAGGTAAAGATGGAATCAGATTCTTCCTATAACGTCCTGAGCACAGTGTCTGACCCCATGAGTGTGCGCTTGTGCTCTCTCTCTCTCTCTCTCTCTCTCTCTCTCTCTCTCTCTCTCTCTCTCTCATTTTGCAAATCCTTGGAATATTTCAAACTAAAATTATTTTATTTCAAGTTCTAGTGGAATTGTTTTGATGCTCAGGAAATTATGCAAGCAGTTAGCCAAGAATTGAAGCAAAATAGCAATAGTAGTGCAGACTTTCTCAAAGCTTGCTGGGTTCAGAATGTGTGATGGTTTAAATGGAAATATGTTTAAAATAATAAACTTATTTGCTGGAGTTATACCTTTTTTTCATAGAGTAGCAGCTTTTTGCATTTTTTGAGATGCTATAATTATACTGAACATTTAATTTCTAATAATGCCACCAGACGGAAGGCATCAGTCCACCAAAATGCCATCTGCAGAGTCCCATAGCCTCTGAAAGCATAGCCTGACTAAACGACTCCATAGTTGTTCATTTTCCACCCCAATTTGCACATGTAACTCCAGTGGTGTCCTGCCACCTCCATATTGTTGGTTTTGAATACCTATCCATATACTTGTGCTTAGGTCTCTCTGAGGAAATTGAAAAGGGAGTGGGAGGGTAAGAAAAATGATTTAAAGTTCAGGAAAGAAGTAATTATGATAAGGATTGTGATTGGGTTTTGCTCTGCCTGGAAGAAGCCTCAGACATACTAAACTTCAAATGCATCTCTGCTTTGACCTCCACTTTCAGGTCCAGTTTTACTCTATTCCACCTCCTTAGTCCTTTCTCTCCATCTTTGTCAGTATGATTTTACCGGAGTGCAAATCACCAAGTCATCCTTTGCCTAAAGAGCCTTTAATGGCTCACTATCAGCTTTGGAAGTGAGACTGGTGGAATATTTCCCTTGAAAAATCTATATGCATGCAAAAGTTGGCACAGGTTCCAGGTGAAGAAGCTTTGGACCATGAGATTACGGCCTTAACTCTGTGTTAGCAAGGCATACGAAGGGTTTGAGATGGAGCCTCCTACCTACGTTGCCATCATCAGCACCCATCACCGACATCATTTAATCCTGGTTTGCAACCACATTGAATCACAGAGTCATTAAGAGTGTGGCCTCTGCCGGGGCTCACATTCTGGCTCTACCGCTTATTCTTCTGGAAGTGTGTTATTTAACCTCCCTGTGCCTCAGTTTGCTCATCTCTAAAATGTGAATAATAGTAGCATTTACCTCATAGGGGGTTTTGAGGATTAAATGAGTTAATACATCTAAAGCAGTTAATAGTCATACCTGGTACATAATGCATATTGAATAAGAATTAGCTGGTTTTAGTAGCTATACACTTTTATGCATTTGCACATGTTACTCTCTCTAGGATGCCTTGCCACTTTCCAATCCCAGCTACCTTTCACTGATTCTAATTCATCTTTCAAGATGCAGTTCAATCTCAACACCCTTGTGAAGATTTCCATGGCTTTTTGACAATGTCTTCTTATACATAATTCTACCGATCAGCGTTGCTGCATGCTTAATTTGTAATTTATACTTATGTACCCATTTGCACATATGCTACATAAGGTTAACAGCTGTTTCCCTCTTGTTTACATAGTCCCTGGTTTTTACCACTGTACCTGGCACATGGTAGGCTCCCACTAAACACTTGTCTAATGAATGAATGAGTAAATGAATGAACGAATGAATACCTCCTCTTCCAGGGAGAGAAAGGCATGTGTATGGTTCTCGAGTCTTCAAATCCTTATTGCCAGCCTGGTGCTTGGCATGTGTTCAAAAACACTTTCTGAATTGATCAGAAATACATTCAACTTTGGTTCAAAGAAATATGTTTAACTTTGATTAAATGAAAATGATCCTTTAGACCTCAAAAACAATCATCAATACTGTATATTTATTAAAGTTTTCATTTAGAGCTTTCCTCAGAATGTGCTCAGAAGACTTGGGACTACACAAGAAGAAAAAGTCCAAAGCCAGAGAACTTTCTAAGAACTTCCATCTCATGAAACCTCCAGCAAGGGCCCCCCGTATCCACCCTGCGTCCTGCCTCGTCATATGATACACACAAGAACAGCACAAACACAACTTCTCTCTGTCTTGGCTTATAGACATTCATCAAAAAACATAAACTTTTCAGTAGGGTAGAAAACAGAAAAAGGAAATGAAAACAAAAAAGGAAGATTAGTTTGGTTCAGTAACTATTTTTAAAAAGCACATGAGGCCAAATCACAGGAATCCTGAAACCAAAGATGAAGTTCTGCAGCAACCCAAAATTCCGTCCCTTCAAAGCTTGTGCTTCTACAGAAATCCTACTCGATAAAGGTCACCATCTAATGGGCATGAGGTATATTTAGACAGCACAAATTAACTCCTTAAGTATTATTGCAACTCCACATCAGTCTTTGGGAGTACATACGTTAAGGAGCTATTAGAAAACAAAAACAAAAACTAAATATAACTCAACAGTCCTGATAGTTTATAATGCATATACAGTTGGTTCACCTGCGTCCTTTTGATTCTCTATTTGAAAGAGAGAGCACAACGAGGAGAAAAGAGAGAGAGAAAAACAAGAACACATATGCAGGATTAATGAGCAAGTGGACCAAAATGCCCCCCACTTATATGTGACACATGATATTGGAAGAAAAGGTTGCCCTTGGGTTCCCACCGCCCCGAAGTATGGGGGCCAGCAAAAAAAGGCTCCTTCACAGAGGTGGAAAATGCTGCACAAATAGAAAATTAGTAAAATTAAGTTTAATGTGAAATCAAGCTATGAAACATACATGAACTCTCCAAGTGACAATTAAGTCATATGTTCTAGCCAAAGCTTCGAGGACAAGGAGAAGTCAAAATCTCCAGAGAGAACAAGGAAAAGCTTCCCAGCTTGAGAGAGAACAGACAGGAGGCATATAAGAGCTATTTTTTACAGAAAATGGACCACCTTCTTGTGATCTTATCCCCACAATGGTTTAACATGTTAAACATGGAAAAGGAGGCATGATTTTGCCCCAACGGTCCTTTACCTGACACCTAACACATTGCTCCCAGCCTCGCTGCTACCTTTTGATTGTGTACCAGTGACAAGCACTTTACAAATTGGGGTTACACACAAGCAAAGTAAAAATGCATTCAGGTCACAGACAGAGAATAACTGAAAAACTTACAGACAAATCTGAGTTTATCACAAACAAATGGCTTAATTGTCTAACCTGTTTTAGGCTGATAAAAAGTGACTTGACTTCTCACACTGGGTTTCACAGACAGAATCAACAGACAAGCCAATGCTAAAAAACTTGAAGCAAGGAGAGTGAGTTGGTTTGGATCTGGATTTTCTTGAAACAATGAAAACAGAAAGAGTGAAGACAGCATGGCGAGGAGGTGGTAGGTACTCACGAATGGTTAAATCCATCACTTGGGAGGCCAAGCAGAAGACAGGATGCTCATACATTTCTCTCTTTTTCCCTATAAAAGAGGATTTGGGCATGCAAGAGGCTTAGGTCAGAGGTAAAGAGGTTAAAGGTCATAGGTTAGAGGAAAACGTTACATTAGCTCAAAGGAAAATAGCCACAGAGTATTTTGGGATAAACACAGGATAAAAGAAAAAGGAGTTTCAAAATTGGAGATCTACTGGATTAACCATTCAGCATGCCATGAGTCACGAGAGAGATTGTGACCATGATTTTACACGTCTCTTTAGAATTGTTTGCAAGAATACAATGACCAAAAACATCATGAGTAAAGGGAAACAGAATTTCATTGATTTAAGGCTCCAAGATACTAAGGATTTCAGACTTTAGTATCTAAGGCTCTTGAGGTATTTCTTCATAAACATAGTCTCCAGCAATATTACTACAACTTCTTTCCAAAATTCTCAGGGAACTAAGCTGTTAAATGCTCACAGAGGGGCTCAAATGTAAACATGGACGATTTCTTTTCTGAGCGTAGGATTGGAACCTTGTAAAAGAAAGTTGTCTAGTAGTAATATCTTTAAAGCTGCAATGTCTCAGCCTATGGTGGACTATGTTCATGAAAGAAAACCTGATACATGCAGCCAGAGGATGTTGGGTTGTTTGAATTAACAATCCCAGCATGCTTTGAAATTGGTGTCACAGCCACTTTTGTAGAGGTAATGCCAAAAAGTGGCTGAGCCAATCACGAACAAGGAAGGAGAGAAGCAAAGAGAGCAGGTAGTGTGGAATGAGGTACTTCTCTGAAAAGAGAGTTGGAAAAAAAGGATTGGTTTCTTCAAAGAATCCCCAGACCTAAAAGTCACAGTGCAAAAGATAATTAACACAACCAAGAAGAATTGAGGCACAAAAGGAAATTACAGACCAGCTGATCTACTTTGGAAATGAATGCATTTTTACTTACAGATCTTAAAGTTTGTTTTTGGATATATTTATCTGAAAGAAGAGAGCAGAGCTTACCAAAAGACTAGTAATAGCTAGACCAAGAACTACGAGGCAGCAGCCATGGCAACCGACCATTCCTTGATCCCATCCAATCTCTGGCCTTGCCTAAAATTATTAGGTACCCAGTTGACATTACCAAATACAACCAATCATTATATCCTGGGGAAGTAAATGCTGGAACAATTACTTGCTAATATAGCCTTTTAACGATCTTCTTGTTTCTTTATTTTTGTCACTCATTACCAAGTCAAGAGTTGATAAACATCCTTTTAGTGCCCAATTCTTAAGTGTTTCTCCCTGGATGCATAACAATGAATTCATTACCACTGGTACACAATTTGCATTGTCAGGCAGACAAAATTGAGAGAGGGAGGACATGTATTGTACAAAACACTGTGAATTTGACATGATCTTAACCTAATTCTCTAAGGAAACAAGGACTTTGGTGAGGTAAGTGATGGGTTTTGGTGGTTGGTTAGGTGATTTTTCCCCCCCTCCAAGTCATGTCCTGAAGGCAGAAAATAGGCATTTGCTGGTTTGAGTCAGGTGTTGCACATGTGAGAGTACATCAGATTCCAGAATGCGGACACGTTGGGTTTTGCACACAGAACTTCCACATTTATACACTTACACCACTGGTCAAGTTGGGTGTGGTTTTCAAATCACCCTATAGCAGCCAACAGGGTAACAATGAAAAGTGATTAATATCTTTGCAAATGAATAGGTCCCAAAGAACCATAATTTTTCAAGTAGAGTTTACCCAAAGTGCCTTTTTTTGGGGTGATTACTTGGTCATCAGTGACTGCTTCTCTAAAACTTGAGAGGGCAGTGGTAGCAACAATCATCCTAGGTTTAAAGTAAGAAGAGTGTCTAAAGCAAACCAGGAGCCATCAGAGACAGCTGGACATGAACCTGCCATCAACTTTGAAGTGCTGCCAAAGACAACCCTTTGAATGTTCAAAGGGCAAAATAGAGTTAAGCGAACTCTTGATGTTGCTTTAGTCAATTCTTGTTTTACCTCCAATGCTATCAACAGTGGCCAACAAACTGCTTTGTTTTCCTCTACTTAAAAAGGGAGCAACCCCACAGAATTCTTTCATAGTAAAACATTAGCCACAGAGCAAACTTGGGGCCAACAGAGACTCTCAGAAGGACCTTAGTTATCTGTCAACATCCCATGTTCAATATGCTTCCCCTACAAAGACTGATTCCTGAGTTCCTCTTCTTTAATTCATGGGTTTCGCCACAGCCAAGGAAACTTTCACATTTCAAGTGCTTTCAAGGTTCAGCTTCACATACTCAGATGGACCACTGTTTTCTGGGGCCCATCAGAAAAGAGAGAGACTTCCCCAGGGAGGCATACCAAATATTAAATTAAAAATTGGGGTAGAAGGGAGCCTTACCTTCGATTTTGGCATACTCTGAGAGCCGAGAATAGTTGACTAGTGCAGCCTGCTCTAGACATTTACGGATGACTGTTTTTACCTCCTCTTGTGGCACTGGGGTAACGATATCCTTCATCAAGACCTTTAGGAGGAAAAAAAAAAGATTGCTATGGTGGTTTGACCAAATGTGTTACTCATTTATGTTTCTTAAAGAGTTCAAGTTTAAAACTAGTTGTGAATGCCTCCTTGCGACTTATCAAGAGTCATTTTAAAGAGAAAACAATCACAATGCGCATTTAGGATGGTAACTCCCATCCATGAATCAGGGAAGGGCTGGAAGCAAACCTTCAATATGTCTATCCTAACTATTTGGGAGTCTGGAGATAAAACGCCTAGAATTTGGGCAGTTTCCCCAGGTTTATTCTGATATTTGTTGAACGGTAAACACAACCTCAAAAAATTACAAAGTAGGTGATTCAAGCACAATATTTCATTACAATTAGGTTCATATCTGTATATATGTAATCTGTCTTTTACTTTCATTCTTACCCTTTCCAAGAGTGAGAGAGTAGCTTTTAAAGCACCTTCAGGTCGACCAAATGGAAAGCAATACCTAAAAAAGAGAAAATTCCTCAGGTTGCCCAAATTTATTACATTTTAGCATTAAATATACTGAAATTTGATTCCTATAGCAACTCTCTCTGAGGAACTGAAAATGCTTTTTATTTTGTCACGTTGTGTTATGTTAATCTGAATTCACACCATATATGTGTGTATATAACGTACATATATATGTGTATGTGTGAATAATTACTAAAGAGAGACTCTGCAAATGTCTGCAGCAGAAAAGAGTATTTACAGTGATGACATAAGGCTCTGTTTAGATTTCTATTGTGAAGGAGAACCATTTGTTATCTCAAATAAGACCTTATATATTATCATAGAAACCAGCATTAAAAAATATTAGTTGAAACAGGCTACCATTCAAACATACTTACTTAAATCCTAAAAGGATTAATATAGGAAATAAAGGAGTACATTTTAAGCAAATTCATTATTCTGCTAGTTGCCCTTTCTTGAGTGTGTGTTTCAATTGTTATTGGATTTTTTCGTTACAGGCAATGCATCTTGCATACAGTGTAAGATCAATAAAGATTTATTCAGGACGATTTTGATGACACAGATAGAACTATGTCAGGTACCACTAGGAGTTCCATTGACTGTTTCAGGCTGTCATCAGACCTTTGGGGACACTGTTCTTCATGGTACAAAGGGACCAGCATGGGCTACTGACACTCAGACTATCTATGTACTTCCTCCACTTACGGCTGTGTAGCCTGGGGCTAGCTTCTTAACCTCTCTCAGCCTCAGTTCACTTTTTGTGTACACAGGGATTATAATAACTACCTTACAAAATTGTTCTGAGAATTTCAAAAATGAGTTAATGTTTATCTAGACTCTAGCCCTGTATGTGGCACATGGTAAGTATTTACTAAGAAGGACCTACTTAGTATGCCATTAAAAATGCTCTTATTATTTTTGAGTTACTATGTCAGGATCTCTGGTCCAGAACCATCAGAGCAGCATTAGAAATGTCTAATTTGTTCCAAGGGAGAAGCGGGCTACATGGTACAAGCCTCAAGTGTCGAGCCTGCTGGCTGTCTCAGTGTGTGGGGCAGAGTGAATCTGCCAAGGCTGATCCACATTTCTTTATTTCTCTGAGTAGCCAGCAATCTTGTTCCTGAGGTAATAGAGAAGGTACCACTGCCTTCCTTCTCTGTTCATGTGATCTGATTCACAGGATTTTTCACTGTTTCATTTAGGAACCACAAAGGAGCTTCAAGTTCAACTTTTTAATAGATTAAACAAAAATAGATTCATGACCAGGATCAGCTTTCACAGGAGGGCTTTCTTCCCTTGGTGGAAATAAAATGAACTTAAGATTTCAAAGTCTCCTAGCTATTGTACTAGAACCCTGTCTTATTGGTTTGCTTTGCCATTCAGTTATTTCTAAATATCCAATGTGAATCTTACTGATTAACAGTTTTAGAAAATCAAGCACTTTACTTACCCCTCTCCAGTCTCATGCTCCTAATAAGCCCCTCAACCCCAGATCCTTACCTAAAATGTGTAATCTGATTTTCCAACAGAACTCGGAGTCTTTCTTTGATTTCTTCAAAACGCTCCTTTTCTTCTACAGTCACAGTTCCAATTCCATCAGGCCTGAAAGGAGACATGTCATGAAGTGACGGGAACCTCATATGCTGACACCATCAAATCAAATCTCTAGCAGGAGGAAACTGTCCATTTTAGAAGAACAACTACAATGATAGATGTGACCTGAGAAGTCCTGCTTTTCAGTGCTGGCTACTAAAGGGGATGTGGTGTTTCAGGGTTATCGTTTAGAGACATTTGCAAAATTGTCACCCATTTATTGTGAAATGGTAAAATGTACAAACTAGTGGCTTGAAGTTTCATCTTGTAGACCTTCTGTTTGTCTCACAGCTTCTTAAAATTTTGAACTGCATGTCAACATTTTTTAAATTAGGAAAGTCTTATAATACAATTCTCTTGAAAATTTGGAACAACTGGCATTGATTGGTAAGTATAACTAACAGTTTCTACCTTAGCTGGGACAGCACTGACCCATTCCACATCTCTAATTTGCATTACTTATCTCTTATAGGCACTTAGATTTGGGATCTCTGAGTTATGTACACAAACTCCTTTGAAAACCAGGTGACTTATAAGAGTCTGTCTTTCCCAGTGTTAAATGTCCTTATGTGACTTGATTTCTAGCTTATAATTATAGATGTTCAGGTTAATTTAAGCACTCATGTATTAACTGAAGAACAAATTACAAGATATTGTAAAAATTGCAAGGCACTCGTAAAAGAAATTGAAAAAACACACACACACAAATGGAAAGATATCTCATGTTCATAGTTTGGAAGAATTAATATTGTTAAAAATGTCCATACTACGCAAAGCCATCTAGAAGTTCAATGTAATCCCTATCAAAATTCTAATGGCATTTTTCACAGAAAAAAAAATCATAAAATTTGTATGGTATTACAAAAGACCTGACTAGGCAAAGCAATTCTGAGAAAGAAGAACAAAGTTGGAGGCATCACAATTCCTGTATTTAAACTTTATTACAAAGCTATAATAATGAAAACAGTATGGTATTGGCATAACCCCCCCCCCAAAAAAAAAAACAGTCACATAGATCAAATGGAAGAGAATTGATAGTTCAGAGGTAAACCCTCATAAATATGGACAACTAATATTTGGCAAGGAAACCAAGAATACTCAATGGGGAAAGGATAGCTTCTTCAATAAATTATGTAGGGAAAATTGGATATTCACATGCAAAAGTATGAAATTGGAGTTCTATGTTATATCACTCACAAAACTGAACTTGAAACGGATTAAAGACTTAGAAGTAAGACATGAAATAGCAAACATCCTAAAAGGATTTTTTGGATTGGAAAAAAAGCTCTTTAATATTGGTCTTGGCAATAATCTTTTTTGGATATTACACCAAAACACAAGGAACAAAAGCAAAAAGAGACAAGTGGGACAACATCGAAGTAAAATGCTTCTGTACAGCAAAATGAAAAGGCAAACTACAGAATGGGAAACATATTTGTAAACCCTCTATCTGATAAAGGGTACTATCCAAAATATAGAAAGAATCCATAAAACTCAATAGCAAAAAACAAAACCAAACCTAAATAATTCAATGAAAAATTGGGCAGAGAACTTGAGTAGACATTTTCCAAAGAAGACACACAAATGGCCAATGGGTACATGAAAAGATGCTTAACATCATCAACCATCAAGGAAATGCAAATCAAAACCACAATGAGATATCACCTCACATCTATTAGAATGGCTATTATCAAAAAGTCAAGAGATAGTGAGTGTTGGTGTGAATGTGGAGAAAAGGAAACCCTTGTGTACTGTTGGTGGGCATGTTATTTGGTACAGCCTTGATGAAAAACAACACAAAGGATCCTCAACAATTAAAACTAGAACTACCATGTGATTTAGCAATCCCACCTCTGGGTATACACCTGAAGGAAAGAAAACCACTATTTTGAAAATATATCTGCACCCCCATGTTCATTGTACCATTATTTACAATAGCCAAGACATGGAAACAACCTAAGTGTCCATTGACAGATAAGTGGATAAAGGAAATGTGACACACACACACACACACACACACACACACACACAGTATTTGTCTTTCTCTCTCTCACATTTCACTTAGCATAATGCCCTCAAGTTCCAGTGATATTGTTGCAAGACGCAGGATTTCCTTCTTTTTACGGCTGTATATTCCATCACGTATATAGCTCATATTTACTTTATCCTTTGTTATATATATACATATATGTGTATATATAATATTACATTGCAATATATACATATATATGTGTATATATAATATTGCATTGTGATATATAATATTACATATATAAATAACAAAGGATAAAGTAAATATGAGCTATATACATGATGGAATATTATTCATTCATAAAAAGAAGGAAATCCTGCGTTTTGCAACAATATCACTGGAACTTTATGCTAAGTTATGGTCATTATGCTAAGTGACATGTGAGACAGGGAAAGACAAATACTGTATGTTCTCACTTACATGTGGAATCTGAAGAAGTCGAACTCATAGAAATAGAAAGTAGAATCCTAGTTGTCAGGGTCTGAGGGGTGGGGAAAGTGAGGAGATGTTGACCAAAGGGTGCAAACTTCCAGCTGTAAGATGGATAAGGTCTGGGAATCTAATGTGCAGCATGGTGACGATAATGAATAGTGCTGTATTATATACTTGAAAGCTGTTAAGAGAGTAGTATTAAACGTTCTCACCACACACAAAAAACGGTAATTATGTAAGGGGATGTAGGTGTTAACTAACCTTATTGTAGTAATCATTTTATTTATTTAATGTAGTAATCATTTGATACACTATATACGTGTATCAAATCATCCCATAGTATACCTTAAAATTACATATGTTATATGTCAACATCTCAAAAAGCTAAAAAAAAAAAAAAGAAGAAACCACATATGGTGTTTTTCAATCTTAGCAAACTATTGCTCATTTTAATAACAAGAAGGACCCTAGCATAAATAAGTGAATTTCAGTTTAATCACAGTATTCTCATGTTTCTAAATCACCATTAGTTTCACACACATTTTCCCTATCTGGTTTGGACTATTCAAGTTGAAAATACAAAAGGAGGCTGCATATTTATAGCCCAAATTTATCTGTGCCAAATTAGACGGAGGATAATCTGACCCATTCAAAGACTTCAGCTTCCCAGATCCGTAGTGACTTGTTTTGACTACTGACTGAGCCAGTTTGCAGATTGGTGCGTCACCATGAAACTTCTATTGGAACATTCTTCAGTTTGCAAATGTAAGTCATCTTGAGACCAAACAAATGGTCTTATTTATAGGCCTTCTCAAGGATCCAGCATAAATTGGGAAAATCCTGTATCCTAGACCAGTCTGACTACACAAAAGACTTGGCAAATGACAGCAATGTACCTCCTGTTAGGGGCTAATTGGTCAGCTTCCCTTCTTTGAAAACACAAAAATGCCCAAAATTCCCCTCTTCCACTTTATAAAAAACATTATGAAACAGTAAAATCCTGTTATAGTCCATTTTTTCACACTCCCCTGAATTTAAGGAAAGAAAGAAGGCAAATGGTAAATATCAGGTAGGCTGTTGGAATCTATGAATGTGCCCTCATTTTCAAATTTTCTGGAGAAATCTCAAATGTTAATTTACAAAGTTTATTAATTTTTTTAACACAAAATGTCCATAAATCTGTATTTAAATCTCAGAGTGAATTCACTGGCCTCCATAAAATACATATGACACTTTCTGTGGTAAGTTCTCATGTTTCTGTTAGAATCTACAACTTCCTTTAGCTGTAGCTTTTGGATTTTTACACAAAATTCAGTTTGCTAATGCAATTAACAAAAACGTTTATACAATTGGCATGTGCATACACACACTCCATGTGGGAAAAAGGAAGCTGTTTGAAGCATTTTGTTTCTTACCAGGGAATTAACCAGAGAAGAATGCTATTAGATATAATTTACAAGTCAGAGAGGGGCTTGTAAATCCCTAGAAAAGGCATGGAATCCACTTAATATGGACAGTCCCGAGATGTCTGGGGTCATTATTAGGAGATAAACCTCTCTAAAGAAAACCATTCATTCCTTACCCATCAAGTCTTCTAAGCAATTAGGCAATTTGAAGGCAATTTTTAGGTTTGTGTTTGACATGATAAAACTAAACATTTAGTGTGTGCCTAGCCTTCTCAGTTAATTCTCACTACAAAGGGTATTATTACAAACGTAAATTTTGATTATGCTTTTTCATTTTTGTTCTGATGACTCACATCTGTAATTACTAAAGGTATCAGATAGATAGCAGCTTCCACTTCCTTGGCTACTTTTTGAACACTTGTTAATCTCACTATTCAAGAAAAGCAAATGACTAAAAATTATTGTGGTAGTCTTTTCTTAAAATTGCTTCTTAATTGCCTATGTCAGTGTGGATGGTTTTATTCTAAAATAAATGAAACTAACTTTACATCTGTAAGGCACATAGTACAGAGTTCACCAAAAAAAATCCAGGTGATTAAAAAAAAAATCATGATTTTGACAATGAATGCAAATTTTGTTTGTAATTGCCAGAATTACTCCGAAATGGTGCTGGTAACAAGGAATGTTATTTTACAAAGTGAGGAAGAGACATGCAGGAATAATAGAAATTGTCAAAGATTACAGGTTATAACTATATCAGTTAAAAATCAAAAATATAATTTTTTAATTTCACATAATTATTTTGAAAATTTAGTCAAACATCAATTTGTTTTCCATGGACCCCTAGAATTTACCAATGTTAACTGTATAGGTTCCGATTGATTTCTACAGGGCTACTAACTGAAAAATCCTGGTTCTATATTTTGGGGAGCACTGTTCTCATAGCAGTAGTAAAATACTTTACCTAGAGCATTGGTTCTCCTATCTAAGCAGGCCTCAGAATTACCTGGAGGGCTTGCCATGACCCAGACTACTGGGCCCCACCCCAGAGTTTCTGATTCAGTGGATCTGGGGTGGGAGTCAGGGAATTTGCATTTCTAACACTCTCTGTAGTACTGCTGGTGCTGTTGGTTTGGAAA